GATTAGAATCTGTCAAAAGTGCTTGAGAGTGAGTTTAACTGACCATGGTGCATGAAGCCGCTGTTACAGAGCCCCACTCCCAGCGTCACGGCATCCTCTCGGGACGAGCAGTCTCCCTGGGAAACCAAGTCAAGGACGCACACAGGGTCATTCACAATGCCTGTTTACACCTGCTCATATGCAGCATGCTGCTTCACTTTGTGACATTAAAAACTGTACAATTTAATCAGCACAGGTTAATATCTATGTGTCTAAGAACAAGTGAGAGGGAGAGATTATGACACTACTGGGTTACTTGTCCCTCAGTTTCAGTAAAGACAGTAGAAAATGTTAAAACTGCATTGAAATTGTACCTATAATAAAAGGCAACTTTTTCAAAATTATAATGATAACTCTAAATTTCTGAATTCTAATGTTTCACTAAAAAGTGCTTTTAGCTAGAAAACACATGCTACATCATCCTGAAGGTCTGGACTGAGACAAGGGTGTACATTTACATTTTGGAGGAAACTCGGGATGGTAGCATTGACAGTAAATGTTTATGTGACAGTCACAAAAGTCTAAAAAGTGAAAATCCACCTTTTACCCAAATGCAACCCAAAAATTAATACATTTTTGAGCCACTAGTTTTCGTTTCATTGTTCAATTTCAATGCATTGTGGTTGTTTTACACAACAACCACAATGCACTGCAGCAATTCATCCATTTACAGTAATAAGACACATCATTACTGAATGCACCCTTGGTGGCTTCAGTGGATTCACGTGAGCGTGCATCGGTGTAATATTTTCTTATTTTACCTGTGAGAGTAGCCAGTCCACCAGTTTGCTAGCAGGCACTACTGATTTAAAGGTTTTCAGATGGTGGTCTCTGTCCCTATAAGGAGCAACAAAAGATTGAATTAGATCAGCTTTATTGTTCAGTGCAAACTTCAATAAAAAAAACAAAAAGAAACAGTTACAAGTGTAGCAAAACCTCTTTGTGGTTTGCTGCTTTAACACCTTGCTGTGCATGCTATCTCACTGATGTTTGGTGTTACTATTCAGATGCATCGCTTAGCTTATGCTGAACTCAGCTAGTGGTCAGTTATGCTGAAGTCATCCGCATGAGATCCGGTCATTAACTTGGGAATTCATCTTTTGTCCTTCCTTTTTTTGACGACAAGCTGATCAGTCCCTGGTTTCACAGTACAGACCGCGAGATGAGCGCCGTGCATTTGCTGTCCCTTTAACTTCTCACTCTGTAAGCTTACGATTTGGGAACAACCACAGCTCGCTCAGCCACAATGCACCAGCCTGCTCGACAAGTAAAACAGGAAATGCTACAGAGGATGTGTTTTTCGACGTGCAATTTCTTGGTTCTGCGAGTTGTATCACAGAAATAGACTGTGGTACATATGCCACTAACAGCCATACTCAGTATACTATATTCAGAATAAACAAGCGCCGTATATATTAAATGATGATGTGGGCACAAATGACACTGCTGACAACGCAGTGAAACAATCGTGAAAGTGGATAACTTCCCAGTATCGTTTTTATGATCAGCGACTTTCTGTTTCAACAACATAGTATACCCATGACATCATCGATGTTAATTCTATTAGTTTTATGTGCATTTTATCATGTAGTTGTTTTTTTCCGAGGCATTCTATCATTAGGAAATCATTGGAGGCTCTGTCACCAGACAAAGTTTAATAAAACAGTAGCACGGTTTTATGATTATTTATTATTCATAAATGCAACACATCCATCACTCAGACATTTTAATTAATGGTGTCTGCTTACAATTAAAAACAAATAAATAAATAAATAAAAAGCAAGGCCATCTTACATAATAAGTGCCTGGCAGGCAGAAGGATTGCCTTTGTATGTTAATAGGATTTGTCCCCAGACCAAAGGCTCTTTGTTTGCACCAATGGCAACCCCGGCCACTTCAATCAGTGGGTGAGTGATGGAGGGAAAGATAGAGAGATGAGCAGGGAATAGTATGAAAGGACAGGAGCAGAGAGGGAATGTGTGTACAGTGTGTGTCCTTGAGGGCTTATCACACAGGAACATTGTGAGTTTCCCATGGTTCCTGTTTCTGTTTAAATTTAGATTTTTGTAAAGTGAGATAACTCTATGCCACCTTATGGGATTATTTTAGGATTAGTATGTAATTAGTAGGTAAACCATAATTTAAACGACCCTAGTTTAGCTACATATGTACATTAACATATAGTGAGGCTAACAAAGTGTGTGTTTATCTGTATGTATATACTACACACTGTAGTAATTAATTTTCTCAGTAGGTGCACTCAGCAGTAAAGTGAATGTGTGAGCATTTGTGTGGGAAATAGAGAGTTCACCATCATTTGAATATATAAGTCTAATTATTCACTAATATATATCCAGGTAACGCTCAATACTGTAAAGATAAATAGACAAATGCTCACAGTAAGTGGCTCTCCTTAATCCTCTAAGAGCATGCTTATATAAGCCTCCAGCCATGAAAAACTGAATCCTGAAAGCATAAACCTACAGCAGCTCACGGCTGGCTCGGTTTTCTCTAGTTTGGAAGGGAAAAGGGTTTGAGGGTTGTCATTCCTGGCAGGGATACCATTTGTTCAGTCATCACAGAAAGGGTGACTCGGGGCGAATGTGAACCCTTCATGAATATGCATGTTTGCACCTGGAGAGCAGGGATGTTAAGAGCGGAGAATAAAGAATGAAGAAGGAGAAAGAAAAGAGGGAGAAGGGCAGGTACTTACTTGATGATAGGTGTGTGGAGGCTGTGAAGCCGGCAGTAAAGCCTGACGCCCTGTAACGATAGAAAAATGGAGCTGCTGACTCATAGATCATACACACCTTGGGTAAACAGGTATGAACATGGCTTCAGAACAACTGAAAAGAGCTACCCTAAGGCTATGAATTAAGGACAAAAAAATGTTTGTTTTTTTATATCAAACCCTGACAACAGTCAGGACTGAGAACAAATGGAGAGTTTTTCAAAGGTGGACAGTTTTGGAGGAACAATATATTTTTTAATGGAACAACAGCCAACTGCATCATACGGCAGGATCCATCCACATGTGATGAGAGGATCAAGCTGTAATGATAGTAGATGAAAGCGGCAGAAAGAAAATAAAAGCTGATTTTTTTTCTCAATTTCTGGAAGAAGATATTGGGTCTGAATTGTATTTTTATAAGCTTTAGCATGACAGTGCAAGAATCATTTAGAGTTTTTATCAATCCGTCCATCCGTCTTCTTTTGCTTATCCAGTTCAGGGTCATAGCAAGAAGCAAGGAACGCCCTGAACAGGTCGCCTGTGTGTCACAGAGGCGACACACAGAGACATACAACGTTTCTTGCTCACATTCAGACCTACTGCCAATTCAGGACGACCAATTAACCTAACCCTTGCATGTTTTTGGACTGTGGGAGGAAGCTGAAATAGAGAAGGAGAACCCATGAAAACATGCAAAAGCATGTGAGGAAAGAAATGTTAGCTGACTTTTGCTGTGCTGTTGGTATGAAAGTGAAGGAATCTGCAGAGGCAGACCCTTTAAACAAGCCAATGAATTCTTATTTTACCTCAAAGTTAATATAAAGCCATTGCAAACATTTACAGCTCATTTGTTACAACTGTTGTTATCCTGTTGCTCTTTGTTCTGTCGCACCAATGAAAAGATCCAGAAGCAGAACTCTCGTTACCTTCGACATGATGTCCTCCATCTCACTGCGGGCCTTGTAGGTTCCATCGTCATAACGAAAACGGTACATCACCTGCTCATTCTTGAACTGGTGTTTGTCTGACACTAAAACAAGAGCAAAAGAAGGAACCGTCACCTCAGCTCTGCTCCAGGCTGAATATCAGCTGATTTAGAGTTTGTAACATAGGTGTCTTTTGTGAAATGTGGAACATCAAAGCCAAAGAAAACTCTCTGCTTTACATATTCCCTTTGCGAATATCTACTCCTGAAAAATGGACTTAAGGTTATGGACATATATGCTACTGATTGTCAACTGTAACTGGATGACATATCTAATATAATGCCAGTGCTTAATATTGCTGTATTCACACATAATAGGCTGAAGAGGTTAATTTTGCCAGTTATGATGAGCCAGTGATGCACTGCAGCAACAAATGTACTGCAACACTGCTGTTTGACATTGGAATATAGAGCTTTAAGATTTTAATGTTGATGCTGCCACTTTTTGATGCATCTGTTTATAGTATTGCTATAATTACAGAAAAAAGGTAAGAGGCAAGAACCATAATTCCTGGGGGCGTTGGGTGGAGTGATATAAATGACACTAACAGCAGACAAATACCAATCCCAAAAAAACGTCCTAGCTTGCACTAATGAAAAAAGTTCCAGAATGACTTATTTAGAATTAATCCAATACGGAAAATGGAAAAATGACTGACACACACAGAAACAGACGATAGTCACAAAGCTAACCGTGAAATCTGCCAATGAGAGGCAGTTTGGTTCCACCACAACAAGCTGGCATTGAATCAAACAAGCTGCTGGTTTTCTCAGTCTAGACTTAAAATACCCTCATAAAACCAAAGGAATGCACCACCAAATCAGTCATTGTAAAGTGTTGTGGGATTCAAAGTTCATAAAATGATGGCTGAATTATTGTGGAGGGAAAAAGAAGATCTCAAAATTGCTCAAATTCAGGTGTAAACTGGACGATGGAAGTGCCTCAAACCAATCATGTACATCTAATTGGATAAGAACTGTAAAATACATGGATTTACTTTTACTCCTGTGGGTCTCCCAATCTGTTACATTACCTCTCTCTCTGATTTCTTTTCACTGAATAACTGTGACACCTACATTTTGCCTACAGGGCTCAAACCTCTTCAATTTACCCACAAAGCCTCACAGCTGTTCCACAGAGCCCAGCATGTCATCATTGTGTCCCTCTATGGTTGTATGGTAAATGTGAGGGAGGATTTCTTGGGATTTTCCACAGGTATTAAAGAATATGAACACTAGGTCTCAGCAGATTTCTCCTGAGAGTATGACATGTAGAAATACTGACAGTGGCCTGCACTTACGTACAAGAGCCCCGTCAGCAACAGCAGCAGTTGTGTTCATACACACTCTCTATAATAGTGTCTGTCCAAGTGAGTGTGAGTATTTTGTTTCATTTCTAAATGTATAATTCATGTAAGTAAACCTATGAGTGTCCCTCGGGCAAGAGACAATACCAGACAATAATTTCAGATCGTTGTGGGACAACCATAAAACACAGAGGATTTGTGAGTTATATGAATGAGTCAACCAATTACAGAAGGAGAATGAGAATCAGAGAAAAGGAGCCATTAGACGCAGGCCTGAAGACAGAGAAGGACCAAACAGGGGAAAAAATGACGAGGAGCGCTACAGAGCTGCAAACATTATAGAGGATTAGAAGATGACAGAGGAGTAAAGAGTGGGGAGTTGGAGAAATAACTACATTAATTTGTCTCACCATGATGGATGATGCCATTTTCAAGTAAGGCTTGTCCCAGGTTGACTCCTTCTTCAGGTTTACTGATCTCTCCGCTCTCTATGAGCCATGACACGAATTCACTGAGGACACAAGACAAAAATGGAGAGATATAGGTATTTCTCTAAAGTAGCAATGTTTATGGCTCATCTATAACTGCTCTTCATAGCTAAAGTACTTAAACAACCATGTCAGTTAAGAAACTCTGAAAAGCATTGGCTGATTTGGTCATAATGGTGCCAAAACTTTTATATATTTAACTTAAAAGGCAGATTTCATTACAGTCCGGTCTGCAGTGAAAGGTGGCATTTTTGGTTTGATAAAATTTATTTTGAATATAAATGTACAGAGCGCTATTGAATGACTACACAGATCAATACTGAGTTAATGCAACAACCTGAAGTTTAGTTACTGACATCATTAGTCATGTCAAATCCTACAAAGAGGTTAGGTCGTGTCTGAGGAAGTGATTTTTCAAACTAATATTGTGTCTGTATGTAAGCGAGCACTGCCTTATATTGCAGATTGTGGCTCTAACTGCTAAATGTGGCTAATGTACGTGCTAATCATTGCTAGTTAGCAGAGCTAATACAGCGTTCTACCTTTATATAATTTTTTAAACCCTATTTAACTGCAAGAAAAGCAGTTTATAATGTTTGTTTTTCTGCACTCTATTCCACTGATATAAGTATTGTTGTTAGGCCATGTGTCTTATACCAGAGCCATCTTTTTTTCTAGTATGCTCACACCGTACAGCTAGCGAAATATATCCTAGCTACATAACAGCTTCACTGTCATATGGCACTCTTATGCAATCTAGTATGTTCATACTATGGTAAGGATTTTTAAGGATAAAATGTATTGCAGTTTGTTTTGGGTTTTTTTTGTTGGTTTTTGTTTGGGGGGGGGGGGGGGGTCCTTTAAACTAGAGCAAAGTTATAAATGGCACAAATTCCACAAAAATGAATAGTTTATCCTTTCCTCCAGATATCCCTCACAGCTGCTTGAATACAAGCATTAACCATTCAAATGTAAGCACTTCTAAGCTCTGCTCACTTGTCTTCACACCCAGTGTGCGCAGAACAAATGTTTGAAGGAGAAAATTACATTCTCCCCTTCTTTGCCTTTCATGCTGCTGAGTGAAATCGCTTGCCCAGATAATGACGAACCGTGAACTGGAGAGAGCTGGTGCATGTTTGTGTGCGTGCATGTTCATTAATTCTGGTATTGAGCACGCCAGCATGGTAATAATTCTGAAAGCTGTATGTGAGAAATCTGTCCTTATGTGTGGATTTGCTTCCAGGCAGTCATGCAATAGATTTATTAGCTTAGTGTATGAGAAGAATGTGTAAATGTCAAGCGCATAATGTGTGCATGTGTATGTATGAAGTCAACACATAACCATATGCTCACATTGTATGCATGATTATATAGAAATCTTTGAAGAGAAAAGAGCATGCCAAGTGAGTGCTCTAACATGTAGAGCTGTATATGTGCATGAGCAAGTCCCGAGTTTCCTTTTCTCCCTCAAACTGAGAATAAAACATGATTTCATGATTGTAATATTTGTGAGTGTGTGTTCATTGTCTCCATTTATGTTCTTTGGCTGTTAAGTGACAATGACAGGGGACTCAAGTGAATGGGACACTAGGTATGGGTATGTGGGTGTTATGTAAGAGTCAGGTTAATTTTGGGACACAGAGCTGTTATGGGAATGAACACAATGAGCAGAAATGCAAAAGAGAGAGCCTCATTGGGTTAGATGAAAGACAGTAATGGAGTTGTGGGAATATCAACAGATGATTTGTTGAGCAGTTATTAGTTAGCAACAGATATAAAAGTGAGCCCCTCTCTGCGCTCAAACTCCATGTAGAGAATATGTACTTTATACTAATATATAGATATACAGAGTAATACAGTGAAATTTAAGAAACCAACAGATTTTACTTCTAAATGCACACTAACAAAACCTCATCAAGATTTTAAAAAATGCAATTTTCCAAACTTTTGTGTTTTGTTTTGTTTGAGACTTTTTTCCTGAAAACATCATTCATAATCTATTCCATTTGCATGACACTGTGGGTCAGAACCTAAGAGTTTTATTTGAGTTTAAAATTTTGTGGCTTTTATGACGCCACATGCTTAATTAAATCTTGCCTAGAGTTAACATGCATTGTGAAAATGACACGCAGGTTAGTTTTACACCCAACAGAAGCAGAGGCAAAGAACCATAAAAGCCTGTAAATTCTACGAGACATAAATAGAAAGACATAAAAAGACAGCTGGATTTTCTGTGTTTTTGTGCATTGCAGTAGTACAGAGTGTATAATATAAAGTATACTGCACCAGAGCCTGAAAATATATTTTACCACATAAATGTCCATTACAGTATTGTTATGGAGCTACTATTAGCAAAACTTCTATCAATAAATATTGTTTCAAAATCATATAGTTATGGTTACAACAATACATTGGACAACCTTGTTAACCCCGTTTGGCTGAATCTCTTTAAACTTAAATTTGGGTGTTTTCAGTTTCATCCACAGATGCGTTTAATCAAGCACCTACTGATGCGGTTTGTCTTCACCAACACTTATTTTTTTAAAGAGTCGTTTTAAAAAGCTCACTGAATCTGAGCGTGGTCTGATTTGAGTGCCTACAACTTCCAAACATGCAAAAAGAAGTCTTATTGAATAAAATTCTATGGAAAAGGAACCCTCTTGTTTACTTAATCTATAAACTCAGTAAATTGTTATATTTATATGATCTCAACTGCTAATTTCAAATCTGATCATTATTACAATGCCCATCCATTCATTACCTTCCACTTCATTTTCATCATTTCATCATCATTTTCAGAGTGACAGAGGAGCAGGGCCAATACCAGCTACGATAGGGGGAGAAGTAGGGTACACCTGGACAGTTCAGCAGTGTGTCGCAGGGCTAACAAAAAGAGACAGACGACCATTCACACCTATGGGCAATTAGAATTGCCAATTAACCTAACCCCACTAACTGCATGTCTTTGGACTGTGTGAAGAATCCACAGTACCCGGACAGAACCCATATAAACACGGGGAGACTATGCAAACCACATAGAAAGGCTCTAGCCAGATGGTGGATTCAAACCCCGGACCTTCTTGCTGTGAGGCAATGTGTCCATGTGTCGCCCATTAGGACTGAAAATTACGGTTTCATCAGAGTCAATAAGGCAGTATATAAGACATGTCTTCCGCATTATTTAGTAAATTGTTTTGCTGGTTTCAAAACAGCACAATGGCTAAAACTTTACATATAGCCAGTGGTGCCATCCCAACCCCCTTTAACCATGCCCTTGCACAAAGACTAGTGGAGCAGAAGCAGATTTGAATGGAGCTGAAGACTTAAGGTGCTCTTCCTAGCCAGAGGTCTTATAATGGAAAGATGGGCACAACCAAAATTAAGCTGGTAAGGGGAAAAAAAATGTGTTAACACTGGCAATTTTCCACAACAGTGACTTGATGGAATTAGGCTATCAACACAACAGAGTCCTATCAAACCGGAGTCAGCATCTCTGTTTAATGCAATAAGCACTAGCACATGACCGTTGCTAATTTCATCAAAAAAACAAATGCAAAGATGATCTGATATCGTCGTGTTGGTGTTGTTCCCAGATCATCATGAAAATGTTGTTCCAGGATCAACATTGCAAGTGACCAATCACATTGTTCTGACGTTATTCTTTTGCGCGCCAAGTCAATATCAGTTCTGCTTACCGTTTATTAAAGGGTTAAGGTCAGGGACAGGGTCCGTTGATCGGCGGACAGAGGCGGTTTCTCGCAGCTTAAGTACAGTTTTTTGTTTTACGGCGGTTTTTCCCAAAGTCGCAAAAGTATGACGTCACAACATTCTGATTGGTCACTTGCAATGTTGATCCTGGAACAACATTTAGTATGATGATCTGGGAACAACACCAACACGACGATATCAGATCGCGTGGTTGCACTTACTGGCAGGAAATGAACGAGTGATAAAGTGAGGAAAGGGGGAGATGGCAGAATGATATAACAGAGTGAGTGTAAAGAGATGAGAGAGAAATTAAAAAATGTATTTTAGGGGGGCGGGCAAAAGCAGAAACACTCAAATTGGAAAACGATCGAAAGCTACTGTTCTGATAGTGACCTGAACTGAAAGTATTTGGTAATGAATCATTACCTTCCAGAGAAGATGATAAAAAGGGAATATGCTCTGACTATGAAAGCTTACACACACACACACACACACACACACACACACACACACACACTTGCACTGATACGGGCACATAGTATGGCAAACTATAATTCCTAGCAGAAACGGAGACTGATTTGAAAACATGGAAGAGTTAACTTGACTCTAATAAACACCACTGCATATTTTTAAAGTCTTATGAATTCACTTCTGGGCACCATCGCTGGTGTGATTCCTCTGTTATCGTCCACTGCATTTACTCATGCATAAAAAATACATTTCTAAAAACACTTTTGCGTGAGGTACGCATTTTATAATCTCTGATATACTGAGTGGCCGCTTTGGCAGTGTTGCAGACGTTAATGCTTGCTCCCTGATTTCTCTTTACAAGAGCGGCCATCAGTCTCCATCGTAAGCGTTGCCTAGTTTTTATGTTTTGTTTCCCCGAGATGGTGCCAGAAAGAATTTTAATTGTTGCTCAGGATCTCACAAAAACTGATGTGCATGCAGGGGAAATGAGGGAAGTAGAAGCAAGTCTCTCATTTTCTTCTCACTGCACGGAGACATCAAGGGGACATAAAGTGGAATGGCCTGTTGAAGCAGCAAAAGGCCCTCTGCTAATGAAAGTCTCTGTGTCAGTGTGTGCTCAATGATATGGCGTGGGGGGGTGTGGGGTGGGGGGGTAGGCAGCAACGTGGCCCTTTCTATAACCCATGAGAGCAGACTGTGAGGGGGGCTCATTACAGTCAAGGGGATGCAGGGATAAAGCAGTTTAGGCATTTTGCCAGGACTTGGGGAGACTGGATACCAGCGCCTTTGAAAGCCTGCTGATCTTACGTAAGAACAATTTGTAAAGACCCTCATGTGAACAGCGTGGCACTGCAGTCACATTCTTGAAACCTACAGAGACCCCCATACTCAGGAAGCCAAGAAACTCACTTTCCCATGAAGCACTTGGGCACAATGCTGAGCTTCTTTCTCCTGTCCTTAATCAGGTGTCGACTCTTGGTCATCATCATGTGGTAGAGCTTCTCGCCCTTTTCTGCAATCATCACATAGGCATCCCGCTCCATTCCCAGTTTGAGACCTAAACACAACAAAAAACAAACATGAAGCAAGTTAGAGCTGCGAGGATTCACTGTATTTAATACAAGGACCTTCGACAGAGTAAGAAAAAATGTGGGAAGGGAAATCAATGAACAAACAAGATTTCAGCCAAGAAAAATATAGCCGAACCACTACAGAACAGACTTGCACTGCACGGCTATCTACATAAAAGCAAAGAGGCAAAAACACGTCACGGTGCTGCTAGCCTGGACTGCGTGTTTGCAGTCTGTTGTTGTACAGATGGAATGAAGCCATGCCGGCTTGGGTCTGCCACAAACCCAGATGTTAATCTCCCCTAGACGAGCTGTTTTAGAGTAAGTCAAGTTCAAGAGGTCAGCGTGATCTTGATTTCGTTCCTGTGTCTGTTTGTTAAACATTATTCCTTTATTATAAAGCGGAACCATGTTAGATCTCATTGTTAGGCCTGCCTCTCCAGTCTTCAGTGAGTATACCGTTTGTGCTGCTTCAAGTTGTTCAGGGCTTTGATGAACTTCTGGACTGCAAAGTAAGACTTTTGGACTCAAGCAACTCGACTCTGCTCCAACTGTGACTGTGCGCATCAGGCTCCCAAACTCAACTGCAAAGTGCTATATTTCAAAAGCGACACACATGGGGCACCACTACAGTTCACTGGGTAAAATGCATTGATCAACATTTTACCTTTTTCCAATATCTTTTGCTATTTTAAAACGTTTTACAGCAGCTTTTGTACTAAAATATTACCAAGTGTATTAGCAATTAATTTTTTCTGCTAATTCTCTCAAATAATTCATTTTATTACCTCAGCCAAGAGGGTTATGTTTGCGTTGTGTGTCATTCATCACAATGAATTCAGATCAAACTTTGTAAGGGTGTAGAGCGGGGTCATGTTTACAATCCGTTCAAATTTAGCTCACACCCATCAAGGTCTTCAAGGTCAACTTAATGATTTATTGGTCGAAAATTGCCCTTTAAAAGTCTTATAACTTAAAAACTATGATTCTCACCTGTGTCGTGTGTATTATCAACATATAGAAAGTACCATATAGATGTTTAAAATATGTTTCACATTTGAGACCTCACCTCTTCTTCAAGGTCAATAGTTTGATCTGCTAATGTGCTAATAATGCTATATAGATATAAAACTATGCATTTTCTGACTGCAATTATTTGCATTGACAACATGTAGTCATATAGGGAGTGATTCTTTTTTTCGTGTTACTTTTTACTTGTTTTCAAGGTCTAATGAGGTCACACTTTCATAAAATGTCCTTTCTTTAAAACTGTGCTTAAAATATCACTAACTTTGTTTATACTGGCAACATTTAGGAAATGATACTGGTATGTGGGGATTCAAAATATCGTGTCACATTCGACCTCTGACCTCACTTTTGTTTTTCCGTTTTTTTTTATGCCTTGTGCCCAAGTATTTTTTATATTATATATTTTCAGCATTATTAATACTTTATAGATGTCTGTGGTGTTCGGGATAAACTATGCAATGATGCTGAAAACGTATACCCTTTAAAATGCATTATTCAAGTCAAAACATTTAAAAAGGCAGGAACTTGAGTGATGGTGTAGGATTGTGACCCACTGAAAAGAGGGGAGGTGGGGCGAACAATGCGAAAAGTTGCACGGCTTATTCTAGAATCCAATTTTCTCCTTTGATTCTTCGGAGATCTCCACTGGCTGTGATGGAGGTGGAGTTATATTACATTTGGCAGCAGCTGGAGTAGACTTAAACAATGAGTGTCATTGAACAACAGACGGGACCTGTCCAGCGGAGACGCCCCCCCCCCCAGCTTCTGCTCCAGCTGTCAGAGCTTGTCTTGTACTACTCCTCATCTTCCCATGCTCAATGGCACGAGATAAAACCCTATCACGGTATCCGACGTCCGTTTTCTCTTAAACTTCCACAAAAACACTGATACGAGAACACCGCTTCCAGCTGGCAGTTGTTGAACAATGAAAGTCCTTTTGGGGGGTTGGGGGGCTTTAAAGGGAGACATATGTCTAACACGGTAAAGGACTGGAGCAAAAAAGGAGAAAAAAAAGCTACAACAAGTAAGCCATGTCAAGAAAACTAATAATGCATGCAGGGAGAGATGTGAAAAGGATCGCTGCCAGGATTTATTACAGTAAAACATGCTGCTGTCTAGACGGGTAAAGAGCTTGGAAGAAAGGTAAGCACAGTGAAAGCAGAGTGTACGGCAGTGAGGGTAACAGAAGGGGAGAGAGTAGGGAAAATTGGGAACTGTGACTGATCTGGCATCTGTTAGCCTCAGGTCGATTTCCGCCGGGTTGAAACTCAACACCACAGGCTGCAGCACACTCCTTCATACTCTTCCCTTTTCTGAAACCCTTTCATCACAGAATCAGATGCCGATAACGTCAAACTCGGCTCCAAATCCTTCAATGGGGTCCGAAATTGCAGATGTGATTTTAAAAAACGACTAAGGTTAAATCGAGTAATTGTCCTCCATTAAACAGCAGACACAGCTAAATCTTCATTCATTTGGATTCAGCCAAATCATTGTCCGATTGCTTTTGGGTTTTAGCCATCAACGTTATCAGGTGGCCCGTTTTGTGCCCCAGCAAAACCAGTCAAAGTCTTTTACACCGTCTAACTCGGCGAACATAACAAAGACAGATGGCTGGTGCTGAACAGGTGGGGACACATTTGGAGGCAAAAGAGTCAGAAGTTGAAAGGAAACAAGATGATCGCTTTTCATTGCTAATTACAAAATGAGTGGAAGTGGTGCTGGGGTTTCTATTTTCTATTAATGAATGAACACTAAGTGCATTTGACTCTCTGCACATTAATGCAAATATGTGCCACAATCACTTCCTCGTGACACTTCAAGGGGTGCCAAAAATGCATATCAAAAGTTTTATTACAGTAAAAATAGATGCAGATTCATTAAAACACACTTGTTTCACAGAACTGTTTCACTTTCTTTGAAAAGTGAAAGCTTTTCTATTTTAAGCATTTGACCAGGATGCCTTTTTTATTTTCTTTGTCAATGAAGATGTTTTTGTTGACAGTAAATGCTCTGATTTGCCAAATGTGCCACTGTCACTAATTTCTCTTTCTTCCTCTCGCAGCTTCTACCACAAGGGTCAACCAGGTAACCTCCCAAATGTCATGTCACCTAAGCCTCTGTTTTACAAACAAAGGCAGGCAGCTCATTCAAGGTGGGACATGGCTGCGGGATGTGAAAATCGTATCCAGGTCAGAAGCACATCCACAGTCATTAGTGGGTGCCAGCTGAGGTGCTTTGATAGTTTGGGCATATAGAGTGACGCTGACATGTAGGGCAGCTTACCAGCCAGCAGCAGAAGCTGCCAAACAGGATGGTTACAGCTAAAAATCAGGAAAAGCAAAAGCCAAAACAAGCTCCCACAAAGAGACTTCAAAGTATTGGGCATGCTATTGAACTGACAAACGATTCCTAGAACATTCAGAAAAAAGGCAGGAAAAGCACGTGTCTAACAAAAGTGATAACTGCATTCCACTAAAAACAGTCGTGGTACTGGGCAAGCTGAATCTTTGATCCCGCATAGTGGAATGTATTAAGTAACATTAACTCCACCTGTGTATTTCCGATTTACATCTATTCTTGGAAAGAAAGTAAAGAATGCGGCATGAAAGATTACGATTAAAACAGAATCTTGCAGATCAAGAAAAGCAAGACTTTTAGCTTGTGACTGAGAGCAGCAGGCAATACATACAAACACGCCAACAAAGGGAAAACAGAGTCGCTCTCATACGCAGACTTTCTTGCAAAAGCACGATTACAAAATAAAAGGATTCTGGTTTGTCGCCATCTGCTCCACAAACTACACAGTAGAAATGGCCTTTTAGAAAAATGCCACTTACTCTCTCTTTGCTCCCGTTCCCTCAAGATGGCATCCAGCCACTTCTGCTTGTCCTCGGCGTTTTTGGCCATGCAGACAAACCACTTGTTTTTTGCTGTGTTGTGGATCTTCCAGCCATTGGTCACTGTGTAGTTGTTGCTGTGATAGTCCGCTGGGAAGCAAAAAGATGGAAGACTTAGAAAAAAAGAAAAACAAAAGACTCAAAGGCACTGTTAGGCTAAGGTGACCTTGCAGTTTTTTTAAGGCTCAAAAACAATTCAAATGTTTACCTGTAACAGGAACCTCAAAGGTAAGTAAAGAAAGTAGTTACTGCAATCAAGTCACATGTGTAAAGTTAGCATTAAAGCTATCTTTACAGAGGATTTACAACCTCACGGGATGATTTACAAGCCAATTAAGATGACACAGGATGCACACTAAGAGTAGTGAAAGGACCGTTTTTTCACCGACTCGACAAAAATCGCTCCTCATACCCCTTTCTAATTTTATCATCCATTTAGCTGCAGGTGAACAGCTACTGAATAATGAATGGCCGCTGGTAATGGAGTGCATTAGCTTCGCGCTCAAAGGTCATAAAAATAGATCAGATACTACAGATCACAGGGAGCAGAGCCTGCTGTTCCATGGGAGTTCGGGTGTTGAAACACACTCCCATACTGTGCCGAGACCCTTTTCAGCCACTCAGATGGAAAAGAGGGATTCTAGGAAAAATGATTCAAGTATATGCAGTATACCTAATGGGACAGCTACAGATTGCAAATTAAGCGTTTCTTTTATCTCTTAATTTTTGCAAATGTGAAGACTTTTGCCCTAATTTTATGACAAATTACCTAAATGAATCAAATTTAAGTCACCTTTATATAACTGTGTGGCTAAAGGTTTCAGGTCACTTGATGCTGGTTATTTCCACTCCATCAAAGCTGTCAGCATTAGATAATCAGATAATCTGTGTTCTGAGACTTCACAGATGTATGCATTTCCAATGAGGTAGCCCTAAGTTCTACGAATAAGGCCTGTTTTTCTTTGTGGTTTCCCTCTCAGCTATCTAAATGTGACAGCTAACATGCAGAAAAAGGTCATGTGAGCTTGCAAAGTAAATTGCCAGCATAGAAGAGAGTGACGGAAAAAAAAAGAGGAAACGTGAGCGGAAGGACCGAGTGTTTCTTCATCAGGGGACAGCGAGTACCAACCCAGCATGGTGCCTCGCAACTAAACCACAAGAGCAAAGCACAGGGGTGACCGTATCACTCCAAGGCTGCAGATGAGTCACGTGTCTCTGGTATGATATCTCACCCTGAATGAGAGCACAATAATTTATCACCTAGCTCAGGATTGTGTTTTTGCACTTGAGATTTTTATCGACACCTCAACCTATTCCTGCGTTGTTGACATCAAAAAGGTGGTATATGAGTTTGTGAGCTACATCCTGTTTGAAACTAGGCGCACACATATGATACTCCACCCTAACTGTCAACAAAGTACCTGATTCATTTCCAATCGACAGTTTTTAAAAGGTACGGCTTTATGAACAAAGACCTGAAATCAAAAGCGAGCAGTGTATGCAAATAGCACCTCTACCGTTGTTGCACAATGAAATTTTCTACACTGGCTTGATTCTTTACAACAAAAGAAAAGAAAAAGGGAACAGATAGAGAGACTGAGTTGCCTCATAAAAAACAAGAACCTCGTGAGAAATGGATCAATAAATACTCTGGAAGACTTAAATGATTGACAGCATATAGACGGTCTCGCAAGGTGACGCTGCTGGGCGAACACAAACCTGTTCCATCCTCCACATTTTCCACCTCCATCACCTCTGTGTTAATTCGGCCCCTGAACACATAGAGAGGCCCGTTGATAGACTTGGTTCTCTTGGTGGACTTCTTTCCAGAAACCCTGGGAAAAGGGACAAACACCGTGGTTACAGTCGGCAGGGAAAACATCTGCTGATGCCAGTGCCGTGTGTCTGGAGGACATTCATATTCATAAAGTTGCAGGTATTGGAACCAGCAGACACACGTAGGTGTTTTTGTTTTGCTTGCATGGTAAAGATGCGTCTACATTAGCAATAATGTGGGCATTTGCTCTAATTTTCCACGTCTGGCTTCCTTACGCTGGTCTGCTAATAAAAATAAAAAAGGTCTGAATGCTTTCTTGTTCTCACTCCTCTTGGCACACGGCTTTGAAGGCCTCCCTTACCTGGACTTCCTTTTGCAGTAAACCAAAAGGTTATCGAACAGGAAGAAGACACGTTCTTGGATGTTGCCTGCTGAAATTTTCAGAAGATTTCCATGAAGCAGGAGCTCTGTGCAGATATCTGTCAAGTTGGTTCCCTGAAGAAGAAAAAAGAAGAAGAAGAAAGAAGAAGAAGAAGAAGGAGAAGAAGAAGAAGAAGGAGAAGAAGAAGAAGAAGGAGAAGAAGAAGAAGAAGGAGAAGAAGAAGAAGAAGAAGAAGAAGAAGAAGAAGAAGAAGAAGAAGAAGAAGAAGAAGAAGAAGAAACACAAGATTAAAAGGGAAGATTGGTCATGTGCTTCAGTGGCTGTTTATTTTATTAGAGGAGAGCATGGAAACCTTTAATACTCCCAGTACAGCTAAACTGACAGCTGCAAAGAAAACACCTCTGCCTGCATCAAAACTTTCATTGAAACAATATAAAATTCAACTTTCACACTCTGACCAGTTTGTTTTCCTTCCTTCCTCAATGATAGGAAAGACTGAACACAGCTGCCCCACCCCCCTCCGCTCATCTTCATTTTTACATTTCTGCAGTTCAAAAATATAAAAATATGAACTGTGTGCTGCTCCAAGCTGGGACAATTAGCCTTGCGCTGGTTAGTCACTGAACTTGTGATTGGGGGGACAAAAAACAAAACATATTTTAATCATTTATTCTCCTTTCAGGATGCAAATGTTTGCAGACAAACAGCTAAAAATACATCCCTACATATAAAAACACACCTATATAGATATAAGGTAGATAATATATGGATAGAAGGGAATTTGTGCAGGGAATCTGGCACAAATCTGTGTACGGCAATCATGCCGAGCGAGGTTTAAAAACCGTTTTTAGAAGCCCAGCCCATCACAATGCACTTAAACAATAAGATGTAATGTGTTACTCTACCGCCAACCACTTTCACAGGGTGTGATCAGCTCTTACATAAAAAGCCGTTTCTCGTCAGCTATCAAATGGACCACAGCGCATTAAGACTGAAACGACTGTTTCTCTTAAAACAGTGACACAAACGTTATGCACTGAACCGGCAATCTGTGTGTTAAACACAAGATTTTAGATTACACTTATGTGTGTGTCTGTGTGAGGCTGTTGACATTAATCTGGATCTGCTGGATAAAATGCTTTGTGACTGACCGCAGCATGGTGTCTAATTAACATTTTGACAGATTGGCTGAACTTGAGGGCCAGTTGCTAATATTGTCTCGGCTTGTTTATTTTTAGAAAATCATTTTCCTTCTTTTCACATTTTCAGCTAAAAAACAGAATCTATACGTGCATGAGAAACCATGCACTCGCATGTTCCTGCACAAGACACAAATGACCAAATGTGAAACATTAAATGATTGAACTTAGCCTGGATAACGTTCTATAGAGAAGGCCTGAGGTCACACACAGCTCGCTAAAGCTGTGAAAACAAGGCTACCAAGTAATATAATAATAACTCTTAAAGACAACTCATTACTCATTGTTCAACAGATCATTCCACTCCAAATCATCTGGAACTAAACACACCCATGTGTGGACACCTTACTCCCTTTAGCCTGCAGGATACCCGTCACCCTCTGTCACGTCAGCCAACAGATCTGGGCTTTAGTGTCATCTTTGAAGTTTCTAACTCCAGTCTACCAGAGACTTGTGGAAACTCTTAAGCATTCATAATTGATTCTCATGATTACATATCTGTGAAAGATGTGCATATCTCCAAAGTTCATAGAGAGAAAAATGATTTTTTTGAGCTTTTCTTATGACTGGGCTTGGGGGAGGAGATCATGTTTCACGCTCAAGTTAAACTGCACCAGTCTGGGGTTTGCTGGGAATAGGTGCAGAGAAAGGCTGGACCTGTGTTTACGGCCACATGATGCATGACTCAGTATGCAAAGGGTACACATGCGTGCACGTGCGTAGTGAATCCAAGCAGTAATGCGTTGCTACAACCAGCGGTCTCCACCATTAGGGCTGGAGGTGATTAGCCTTTGAGAGTGGCTGGAGAGAGGAAAGAAGAGCGGGACTAATGCTGTTAGGTTGAAGGCTCTACAGGGGGCAAGGTCAGAGTAAAGTGCCTTTCCATGACTCCTTTTTGTGTTTAGAGGAAAAGAAAAAATTTAAATCAGAACAATCTAACACAGGGGACAATTATTATATTTAGGAATTAAACTAGAAATCATTTAAATTATCCATTATCCTACATCGATAATGTAAAAAAATAGTGAAAATGTTTCTTGCATGTTTCAATAGCTGACTGATTCATTTAACCAACGGCACAAAACTGAAAGTTGTATCGTTTAAAATATTTTAAACCTTAATGCAAACTGCTTCTGTACATTTGAGAGTTCACGAAACTCACTGAATAATTTCCTAGCATCTTCTGCCATCCTGATTGGCTAACTACATCAGCACCACTTCCTGAGGTCTATAAAGGATGTGGGACATTAGAGTGGTTAAAGCTTAACAGTGAAAAACATAACTGATAAGCTGAAAAACCATTTGTTGTTTTCCTTTCTATTTTTCCAGAGGCACAGCTATCATATCAGAGTCAAACTGCAGCTTCTTTCAGAGGGAATGGCAGGTTTTGGCAAGCAGATAGTGGGATGTCCCAGTGGGGCCCCTTCTCTGGTTCCATCCGTCAGTTTTGTCTTTTCTCTCCTCCAAAAGGTCCTACCACATCACCATCCCAGTACATGTGAGACTGAAGCCCTGCTGCTTAGGTCTCTTCTGATTGGGCAGCAAGCCCTCTGGCATCCCCCTCGGCACCCTGTGTGGGTGGATTGTCCCAGTGGTGCCCGCTAAGACAAGGCCTCTGTTGTGGTGGGTGAGGGAGGCGTGAAAAATTCACTGGACCCTTCACACGGCTCTCAAGCCCTGTCTGTGGCCCCTGTGCTTAAAGCAGTGATTTGGCTGCAGCGGAGTTTAACTGTTAAGATAGATGAGGATAGCAGAGGTTGAGGTCTTTCTCAAACAGGTCAAACTGTTTTTGTTGCGTTGCATTTTAGGTTGCACTCATCAAGACTTACGCTCTCTCCTACAATTTCTACTCTCTAAAATGTCACAGCACCAAAACTCTTCTCACTGTTGTTCGCTCCTCTCCTTACCTCCCAGCCTTCAATGTGGGACTGCAGCTGTTCCAGGGCCTCCAGTTTCTCCATTTGCCTTTTAGTCTCATTGATGTTGGAGCAGACGGCCTTCATGGCCTGCAGAGCCTCCTCCACCGCCGGATAATCTGCATGCTTCTTGGGAGTCCTCTTTAGCAGCTCCTAAGACGAGGAAGATGGAGATTTTAAAAATAAGAGACGGCAGTCTCATCACAGACTTGTTTCTGATTATTATTATTTGATGTCAGGGTCAAGTTTCTTATTGTAGCAGGTGCACAGTACCTTCAGCAGCAGGGGGTACTTGCAAATCCTCTGAATGGGAGTCAGGAGGTAGCCCTCCAGGGGAATATCTGTGCTTTTCTTCCCTCCGAGCAACATACAGTGCTTAAGAAGAAAGGGAAATAAAGATTATTAATAACCTCCCCCACCAAAAAAACAATACATGTTAATGCACATTGTTGTATAAATGATTATGTGTCTAAACATCAAGTTGAAAAATCTTGCGTGTAAAGCAAAAACAAAACATGCTTCTCTTTACTTTTTCTATTTTAAACTTGTGTTTTGTTTTTTTGGGGGGTGGTTTTGTGAACATCCGTCTGGTTTTGCTTCACTCAGAGGAAAGCAAGGTTGAAATGTTGCTACATTTCTTCTGCTTCACTAGTGGAAACACCCTCAAAAACATCCCCTCTTTTCACCAAGGATCACTTTGAAACCTCCGTAACGTCACCTCATTCCACAGAATATTTGGGCTTTGAAAAAAAGACCCCCTAAGCAGCTGAATATAGGTGTTTTCTTTAAGAGTAAAAGGGAAAAAAAGCAGTTACAGTTACAGTCATGGTTTCTCTATGCTTGATATTTTTTTGCTAGAGTGCATCCTGTCAGGATGGGAAGAGAGATCAAAAGCAGCCATGCCGATAAACCACTAGTGTTTATCAGTGGGTAGAAATGTAAGAGATCAGTTTAGAGCTAAATAATCTCCTCGTAATACCCTTCTAGCAGGAGAAGTCTGTGCGGAGGGTTAGGCTTTTTCCAGTAGCATTTTTGATGGGAAAATGTGCAACTTTGGAATTCCACAAATTCCTAATGTGTTAAACACTTGCCTCTCGCCACTTCTCGCCCACACCGCCGCTCCTATACAGACTTTCTCATGCTTTCATTCCCTCTTATCTTTTGCTTATTTGTAATCTGCCTGCTTAAAAGCCAGAATTCCCTCTGCTCTTCATTCTGACCTCCTTCTTGCTTTCACTTCGCTTTTCTCTGTAGTCTTCCAATGCAATTAGCGCTTACAGTTTCTGGGTACAATTTCAGAAGCTCCCTCAGTTGTGTGATTAAATTTGGATGGAAACTGTGTAATCCAGAAAAAAAAATCCAATGGGATTAAACATAGCTGGGGGGGGAAAGCTAATGGCAATACATATTATACTGCCTTTAAATGACCATGAAAATGATTTGTAGCAGTAAACAAACTAACAAACTGACAAATGTAGATGCAAAACTTGAGTCTCTTCTAAATATAATTTTAAAAGCTTCCCATATTTTCTACGCCGGTACCTCACGCACATTCAAATCTCAGTGACTCCGTGTCGTTTCTGTTTTGCTGGTTGTTGCTACACCAAACATGTGAGCTCATCCGACAATTTGAGATGACAAAGCAGGTCTGACAACCACTTTAATACAAAAGCAGATGTTGTGCAGTGATTTTATTTTGGATTCGTTATTGTGGCGCTAGACCCAACCAATCAATTGTAGCATGACACGGCCAGGAGGAGGATGTGGGGGGCAGTGGCGTGGGGGTGGGGGGTGCAGTGCAGCACAGCAACAGCGATCCTACTTTTTCCCACTCCTGTGGGTCAGAATAAAACCATGGAAGCACACCATCAGGCAGTGACAAACGTGGGGCTTCAGATCTCTTGGCCAATCCCAGAAAGGCTGCCAACTCTCCACAGCTGGCTGGCCCAGGATCTGCACATGATTTCAGTGGCTGGACCCCAGCTCAAAGGCCTTCCCCCCTTTTCCCCATTCTAAAGTTGATTGTCCAGGGCCCAAAGGTTTGAGTGTCAAAACACGGAAACAGCTGGCAGTGGAAACACTACGAGACCAACAATGCATTAAAGTGACCTTGATGCTGGTCGCATCCTGTCCGCACAGGAGGAAACATTTGACCTCATTTCGGTTTCTGCCCTTTATTCAAGTGTTAACATGGAAGTGGAGGTGATATGAATGAAGGAGAAAAAAAAAGGAGGCGGATGATGAAGAAATAAGCAAGATGAGGCTCTTGGGAGGAAAGAAATGTAGGGCAACGGAAGAAGGCAGGGAAATATACCAGCAAGAAAATAGGATGTATTATGGGACCAAAAAAGGATGCATGAAACTCATGAGGCATACAATAATGGAAACTTTTTTTTGGAAGATTTTATTTTTTTATTATTAATAATTATTAGGAGAGAAGTTAGAGTCATAATGAGAAAGGGAAGGAAGGCAATTAAATTTTAGAAGCAAGGCAGATTTGATGACTCGAGGAGCGTGCAAGGACAAGACAAGTCAGAGGAGAGGAGCACTGGTGTCTTACCAGTAGGAAGGTCCTTATGTCGGGGATCTTGTTCAGCTCCATGAGAAGCCTCAACGCCTTTTCATGGTTACTGCAGTACTCGCCGTATACTGAGAAACTGTCCCTCTGCAAAAAAATAAAATAAAAAAAACAGGTTCAGGGTTGTATGCCAGGGACTTTGTAGCCAATCTGACTAACTACTGTACACATGATCAATCTACCAAGACAAAGACACTTGACAGCAGAAACTGGGCCTTGAGTAGTAATGTGTCAACACACTGTTTATATCACATCAGTAACTGAAGCTACACAACAAAAAGATTTAGCAGAGCATTTGCCCCTCACTGCTCTTTCCTCCAGGCTTTCAAACAGGGCTAGTATTTAGGCAGACAACAATGCCGAGGGCATGCAGCTCAGCTGTCAGTACATCATCGAGTCATGCTGGGAACTCTCAGAAAGCAGCATGAGGTTTTGTTGTGATAAAACCAATTAGTTTAATAGCGCGTGCACACATACGGAGAACAACACGCTTTAGAACCACTTTTTTCTGTTGTAATGTAAATATTGGAGCTAATGGCGTGTGTCTCTGCAGCCATAAGGGCCGTCATTATTCTGTTCGTTATGCTTTGTGTCGTTACCCTGATGAAAAGTGACGAGTAAACAATGCATATGAAAAATGTTTAATTATTATTATTACAGGCGAATGACTCTGCATTTAAAAATCAACCTATTTTTTTATTTACAAATATATTAGATTTCAAGTTTAAAGGAGAGTGGAATAAGTCTTTCCAGTTTGGTGCAACATACACGGTACAAGCATGGCCGATTCAACAGAATTTGTAAATCATTATAACATAATGTAACGTAGTAAACCACAAGAAAAGAATGTAAATAAAATTCTCTTTATGGACCATAGTGTCCTGTAAACAAGTACAAAATCTCTTATCATGAATTACACACATATGATTTGAGAGTAGACAGACTGGTAAAAAAAGAGACACATCAACAAACGCAAACTGGAAATATTGTCTTCTGAGATGACTTCAATTAAATGTAGGTGGTTTATAATTAAGTGTAGATGACATGGATTGCAAAGGGACCAAAAGACTACTGCAGAAATACTTTCAGAACTATTTCAATCGTGAAGCAAAAGCATTCATCGACATCCTTTGTCACACTTCTCTTTTCAAAAGTAGCATGCGTCATAGGGGAAATTAATAAATAAACTACATACAAGATATAACAGTTCCTCTTTTTTTTAAGATTATAGCATCACTGTGTAGCAATTCAAACACACACCCTAATGCACAAGCTTCTGTCGGGTTGCCATGTTCTTTTCTTTACAATACGTAATTCAACACTTGGGCTGGTGGATACACAGTGTCCTGTGAACTGCATTATTTAAGCAAAACACTGTAGACAGCAGCATACACACTGCATCACAGCTGAAGTCAAACTTACACCCTGTAGCTTATAAACATCTCATGTATTCTTGGGAGTTTTGTAGTAAT